AAGTCATAAGGATACAATTACGGGGATTGATTATGTAGTTCGATAGTACACTTTTGGGCCTTTAGTGGAGTAAGTCCAGAATGATGATTGGATTGGACAATCCAAGTTGAAAGGATTGGATCCAAATATCAAAGCTTGAATTATGTAGGTTCGATTAAGTTTCTTTTGTAGCTACAAATAATGTCCCTATTTGGTAGCAGTTTTTCACATCAAAAAATCAATTTTTTTACTGTTATTTCACCATTTTATTCATCATTTTTGACTTTTTCTTCACTCACAAGTGAGACTCATTTTTCTCTCTAAAGATCAAAAAATCAATTCTCATAATCACTATTAAACATGTCCAAAAACTGAAACTAAACTAAGGAAATAATTGAGTTCATGGATAGCACAGTTGATCAGGTTAAACTTTAACCGAGGTCAACACATTAAATTCTTAGTCCTTGTTTAAGTCCCATTCTTTTTTTAAAAAAAAAAATTCAAAACTTATTCTCAACCACACATTCTTTAATAAAATAATGTTACACGCAAATTAAAAACTTTTACTTAATTTCTAACCATACATTATTCATTAATATACTATTCAAAATGTATTTTTACTCCCAAAATGGGATTCAAACAAGGGCTTAACAAAATTTTGACCATCAAAATTTGAGTTTGACAAAGATGGTTAAGTTTGACCTAGTTTCAAAAACATTTCGATTATAGATAAACATTTTATTTATACCATGGAATCCGAAATAAGTTGGAAAGGAACATTGTTATTTAGATTTGCATAAGAATAAAGCTATGCAGTCCCACTGAGATTAAAACCCCAGTTTAGATGATACTAAATGATAGGCTGAATGAAATGTGAAATTAATATATCATTTAATGTCATATTAACGCCATTTAAACTGGGGTTATAACTCAGTGAAACTAAATAACATTACTCGTTATATAAATATATCTAATGGGTTATGAATTGAACTAACTTTTACCATTCAAGTACTTCAGATATTTATAACAAATCTTAAAAGTTTTGAGAGTTTTGATTTTGGTAAATGGTGATCTTGATTCTTGATGCTCACGCTAAGTACAACCTGATTTTGGAGAATACTAGAGAAGATCTAAAAATGTTGAAAGCTTATAGATCAAGAAGGAACGACGGCTGGAGGAGAAATGGAGATTTGAAGTTTACAGGTTATCAACCTCATTTCGTACTCAAAAAATTAATTGCTGGAGTAAGCTATTTAATATCTTAAAGATATGACAATTAATTAGAAATAAAACACGAAATAATCCAATCCGTTAAATCTTTGTTTATGAAAATTTTTGGATTTTCCTAATTCTTTATCGACTAGTTCCAATAGAACCATTTGAAGTGAGATACGTTTTTTTTTAGGTTGCATGAATTTCTTTCGAAAATTTTTCATCACTGATTAATAGAGATAGACAAAATTCCTCACCTCACCCCGCATTGTCTCGCTCCGAATTTCAAATAACATAAAATATAAATAAATATTTAAACAAGAAAGTAAATGAAGATATATTTTAACTAGCCACCCCACCTCCAACGGGGTGGATGGTGGACTCCCAATGCACCCGAAGCCCCCGTTTGGCTCTCATTTTTTGGGAAATGAAAATGAGTTGAATAGTATTTTTTTTTTTTTTGAAAAATGAGTGGTTGAAAAAGAAGTAAAAGTTTTCAATTTACGTGTAATATTATTTTATGGAAGATTGTCTAATTGAAAATAGGAGAGAGAAAGAAATGAAATGTAATAGAATTTAATGTAATGAAACTCAAACGGGGGCTAAGCGATTACTCATTGTGCAGTCGTAATAGAAGACTAACTAGATTTTTTAAAAGTTGGTGACCAACTTGTTACTTGAACCGTAAGTTAGAGATTGGTTCAAATTTTCCTATATTTTGCAATGAAATCTTTTTTCTAGATTATAAATAGATTGGGTATCTAGTTTTTGGTTCTTAAAATTTTAATACGTGGCTCTTTAGGTATTATGTAAATGTAATACATACGAGTCATTAATCACTGTTTTTTTTTTTTAAGTCGTGCGACAGTGTTTCTTGAATTAACTTTACTCCCTCCGTCACATAAAGATAAGTTCACTTTCAATTTTTGTTTGCTTCAAAATATAGGCTGCTTTCCTTGTTAAGAGTATAATTGATTACTTAATTTTCTAATATGTTCTTATTTAATGTGTCTTCTTATAAAATATGAAGTACTCCTATTTAAACTATTATTTAGTGTAGGGATATATGAGAAAAAATGTAAGAAGAAATTATATTTCCTTAATCAGTGAGAAACTAAAAATAAGTATGTTTTAGTGGGACAGATGAAGTATCTTAAGTTCACGTTGCTATGTTTTGATTTTATGATTTGTGATCGAGAAAGAAATTTTTAATTTTCAATCACATACCGAACCTTTTCTCGTTGTGGCATGTATGCTTGTAAAATAAATGATAAAAAATTCGTATAATGTAGAATCATTAACGTGTTATGTACACGACTTTTACACGTCACACACATGGAAAACTAATAATCTCAATTAGCATTCATACTCCTTAATCCTGATGTAAAAGATTCGCTTCTCATGTAAGAATTTGGAATAAGAAAAGTAGTGGCCAAAATGAAACTTCTTTCCAAGTTGGGTGATGTGTCTAGCGAATTTATTTATTTATTTATTTTTATTTTTTTTTCAAAATTCTAACATGTCCAATAGATGGTAGGACAGCCTAACATTTCCCTGTATATTCACCCATAAGAACACTAGCATATACAACAAAAAATAATCTTATTATCAATAAATAGAGAATCAACTACATAAATCTTATTGTTATGGAAAGAGAAATAAAGAGGAGAGAAACAAAATCAATAGATTTGTGTGTATTATATTGAGAACTAAAGTCTCATATTTACAGGGATGAATTAGAGATATAATGGTAATAATTTTTAGGGTTGTAGGGGTACAATTGTTATTCACTAATAAACTTATCATCTACAACACTTCTCTTTGAATGACACATTACAAAATATTTGTCTTTTTAAAACTTTGTTTGATAAAAATTCAATAAGACAAAAATATTAAATGAAGGGAAAAAGTATAGTTTTATTAAAGTATCAAAAATAAATGCAATCTCCTTAAAATCTTACTAGAAAAATTCAGTGGGATAAAACTTAAGCAAAAGAAAGAGTACAACTACTCCTCTTGATATTTATTACTTAAATTTTTTGAGTTGATGAGTTCCAATCTTGTGAACCAATTTCTTGAATATAGACATGGACATTACTTTTGTGAATAAAATCAGCCACATTGTCACTTGAGCGAATATGTTGAACATCGGTCCCGTCATTCTCCTGAATCTTATATGTATGGAAGAATTTTAGAGAAATATGCTTCATCATGTCCCATTTGATATAAGCTCATTTGGGTTGTGTAATACAATTTGTATTATTTTCATACAAAATTGTTGAACAATCTTTTGTTGAAATTAATTCGCATGATCTTGAATATGATGGGTCATGTTTCTCAACCATACATATTCTCTGACATTCTTTATGGATTACAATAATTTTAGAATGATGTGAAGTGTTGCTGTCAATGTTTATTTTACAGATTTCCATGATATAGCTATTCTTCCTCGCGTAAATGCATGTCCTGTTTATGATTTATCTTCATGTAGATTAAATAGATAACAAACATCTGTATGTCTCACGAAAGCACATTCNGTCTTAGATAGCACAATCGAAAACACGTAAGTGACAATATTATGTTAATGATAAAATGCAAGTTGCAAAAGTGAATATTGATAATAGGTAGTTGATTTTATACAAACCAATGATACAACATGTAATATAACATAACCCCGAACAAAAGTTGGGAGTTTTGTTTTCATAAATAATGGTCTAGCAATAAATTGTAAACGTTTGATAAATGACTCCGCTAAACCATTTTGTGTATGCACATGTGCAACTAAATGTTTAATAACAATTCCAATTGACATATAATAATTATCGAAGGCTCGTGACCTAAATTTACTTGTATTATCAAGACAAATTCTCTTGATTATGGGAAAATTGAGCTCTTACTTTTATGATTTGAGCAAGTAGTCTAGCAAAGTTTGAATCTAATACTTGAGCTTTATTTATTTTTATTCATTGAAATGTTAACCTACTTCTCTCATTGTACTCAACTTTGAACATACCTTTGTTGTGAAATAAGTTTTCTTTCGTAAAATTACTCTGAATTGAATTGTAGGTTGTGTTTAGATCCCGTAAAACTCAATGTTACAATAGAATCGGTGCTCATTGTTTGTAAGTTACTGAAAACATTATAGAAGGTTGGATTGCATCATAAATCATAAATTAAGTGAAAAATGCCTTGCTTGTACGTAGAGTTCGGTAATGAGGAATGTAGATCATTGAGTTGAATCAAACCTCCACAATCAAATCGTTTGCATTCTCTCCCCCTTCTATTTACCGTTTTATATTGTGCTCATTAATTTTCTTTATTTGATTTCATATTTGTGTGTATTTCTTTTATTGCTACATTTGCTAGTACATTATTTTTAGTCCTGAATTATTTTTCGAAAAAAAATTTAAAAATCAATTCACCCCCTCTTGGTGAGCTATTATTTGGTTTTCATTTAGTTCATAAAATTACTCTCAAAAGCTTTTTCATTTTTTTTAATAACCAAGATAAGTGCAACATTTACGCTTATCAGAGATAAAATTTAGAAAAATATTGCGAGAACTTGCCATGTTATTTTCCCTAGTTACAGTTATAAACCCTCATATTAACTTACATGGTTGTAAAGGTAAAATCGAAAAATTTCTTCGCAATTAACAATTTGATATCCCCATTACAACTATGATATATAAAGTACTTTTTGTGATTGTGATGCTGCCAAACACAGTAGAAATAATGATCCATGCCCACAATTTTCTACTAACCATACGTGTCAAATGTCACATCTTCACCTATTGTAGTTGATCTCAAACTATGATAAAGGAAGAATGTTTTTATAATTTTATAATTCTTCCAACGAAATATTATTCCAGGAGAACAGGACACAATTGTGACTAAAAATATGCAATATTTATGATCTAAAGTTTCTAACTAGCAAAGTCAACTCAGAATTAAGGACCAATCAGTTTGATATTTATAAACTGAAGAACAATAAACAGCTAACGAACAAATGATTTTAAGTTGTTCGTGGGAGCTCATGAACATAAGCTTATATCCTTTTCCTCCATGAGACGAGAATCAGAACCCTAAACATGTTTCTGATAGTCGAAGCCATTCAATCTTCTAACAATCCATTTACATAAACATGATTATAAGAACTTACTTGAAGCCAATATGATTATGATGATGCTCGGGTTTCTTTTGATGCCAACCTTTAGATATATATTATTATTCTACCATATCACTTTCTCCATTGAGGCAACCTTTGGACCACCACCTGCAACAAGAAAAACTGAAGTTAATGTTGCTCCATTTTTCAAGAATTGGTAGCTAAACCGTTGACAGACTGTCAACAACTAAATCCATAAATGTGAGCTGATCTCCTCACGCAGACCTGTAGAGCATGTTTGGTACAGTTTTATAGGTAATTATAATCCAGTAATCTATAGCAGGGCTGGACCTAGGAATATGACTCGGTGAGGGCGAGACAGAATTATGTAAAAATTATGGTTAAAAACTTAAAATTATGGACTAAAAGTTTATGTGGGCTACTTTGTAAATGTCAAACCTTAATGGGTCTGCCCCTGCTCTGTAGTCGCAATATCTAAGATCGTAAAAAAGTCAAAGAATGTAGCTGTAATCAACGTACAAAAATGTCAAACAATGTAGCTGTAATCAACATACCTTTCCGGAATTTTCTTTATTTCCAACTATAGTTTGGCAAGCTAACCTCCAGGACTCTGGTTTCTGCACAAAGCAATTTTCATTGGCATTAAGAAATTACAGTGTGTCGATACTGGTGCAACTCTTGCAATACAAAGCATTGGAATTTAGACAATGATTATGTCTGGCCTTCATCATCTAATATTATTACCACATAATTTGAAGACTAATTTTAGTGTAACATTGAACAATGGTATCCTGAATCTTGTTAAGAAACAAACACGAAGTAACATAAGAATAAGAAACTTGTATACAAACTTGAGAAAATATGAGAGAGCGGTGTCAGATGCCGTGCCTTTTTTAAATATCTGAGTTCTGTGTTCGTTCTCTCATTTAGGAGATCCTTTCCATCGATGATCTGAAAGAGAGAAAACAATATGCTTATAAGATGATGTAAAACTTAATACGAGTAAAACATCTATGAGATGTATGGTGACTACAGTAATTCTCGTTTGATATTTCTTTCAGCCACCAGCCGCTACCAACCCTGCCCCGGCCCAAATAAAGAAAAAATATAATAATGCCTTTCAATAGTCTTGGTAGACATGAAACCCCTGACACTTTCTTGCATTATTCTCCCTCTTTGTGCCAAATAATAAAAGCGATTTATAACATTTTGTAGGACCTCGCAGTTAGTAAACACTAGGAAAGCGATACCTCTGTAAGTTTTAGAAGCGAACATAGTGGAAACAAAGCTATTATTTACCTCCACAATACAAGTGCCGCAGCTTCCACCACCTCCACAATTCATTACCTTCCCCTATCAAACAGGAAAAAATAACATCCACGACAGGACAAATTGAATATAAGAAACAAATGAGGGAATTATTGGAACTCAGGTTGAAGGGATTCAATCTTCAACAAAAACTTCCAGCATTTCAACAATATTTCTACAATTATATACTACACAATTTTCCCTTTTTACATATAGACTTTGTCAGTCACTCCAAATTACTAGCACCATCTAGCAAAAGAAACTGGTAATCAGACAGAATTTTGCATGTATTTACCAAAATTTGAGATGGGATTACTGAATAAGTACTAACTCAAGTTCAGGAGAAAGAAATGCACGATGAAGCATGTTATGGATACACTGTTCAATCATAATCCTTTTTTTTTTTTTTTTTTTAAATATATTTGGGGCTTTAAGTTTTCCTACATATGGTAAGGATTGAAGCCTATTCCATTTCACCTGTCTCTACAATTTTTAGTCAATTGTTTGTTTTCAGATTAATATCATATGAAATGTCTCTACAAGTTTTAGTCAATTGTTTGTTTCCAGATTAATATCATATGTCTAAGTAACTTACATCTGTTATTACATCTTACAACTAGGAAGCCAAATATTTATACATTTCAAGATTTTCATTCACTTTCGTGTCTGCCATTATATGCAAATAATAGTTTCAGTCGATCACTAGCCACTGTACTTTTCTTTATTAAGACAGAAAACAGGACGGTAATATTGATACAGGATTCACAGTTAATTAGCATCATAGGTCAGCTCTCAACTCAAATGCAAAAATGGTGCATATTGAAAATAAGGAGCTAGAGGTCAATCCACACTTTTATTTTTAGATTTAAAATTCTATCATAGAGAATGAACTAAAAACTGGGTATTCAATATTGATTGCAGAATGACCCAATATGGAATTGCAAGCTAGGAAAAATATAAAAACCGACTTGTGTGCTAATTAAACTTACATATGCTGCATAGAGCTCAATATTGTTATCCAACATGATGTTCCTAAGCAGCTTCTCTCCACTTATGGCTTTAGCTCTATCAACAGGGGGTTTCCCATCTGCACCTGGTTTAGGCTACCACCGACAAAGAAAATACAAGAATAAAATAAAATAATAAATATTTCACTTACTTTACATCGTAGACTATAGATAAATAAAAAAAATAAATGTCCCATCTCTCCAACAAATTTAGCTTTTAGACTGTGATTAGAGAGGATTCAACTATCGTCGTCACCTATTTATCAACAATGTGTAAGATAAAAAGTGAATTTGATGTGCCGCCTACAAGTAAGAGCATGTTGAAAATTAAATTTAAATAGTAAATGCATCCATCATTTAACATGTCAAGCTTTTAGATGGAGTGAACTGAGAATCTAAATGGTTAATAATTTTATTTGGATAAAATTACATTTTTTGTTGAAGACAGCTTAAAAAAAAATAGTATTTGATAGTAGGAATTTGCTTCTCACATACAATTTACCAATGATAAGCTAGAAAATAACTAGAAGATTGAAGGTAGCAACCCTAAAAGCTTTTGACCACCTTATCAGAGCTCATCACCACCTGATTAGGATCGATTACATCAACACCATCTACATTAGAGTCCATCTCACTTTGTATTGTTACCTTTATCACTTTGTATTGTACCATGTAACACAATTCATTTCACATGAATCATTATTTAATTTATAGTAACTTTTCCTCTTTATGGTATCAGAGCAATCTAAACTCTCACAAGTGTCTTCCCTATAATCTTTTTCTTCTTCTTCCTCCCATCTATCTCCTCTCTCCTTTTATTTTCCCATCCTGTTGCATGGCTAACAACATCGCCAGTAGCACTACCTCTGTCTCATTTGATCCAATCTCGAGGATTTGCCCTTTTGGTTACTCACCTATTCCTTCACCCTCTTCATCATATTCTATTACATCCCTATTAAATCTCATAGTCATCACAGTCTCTATTCGAACCCCCTATTTCCCACAGGTTCCTGCCCCCAGCGGCAGAAGCCTCAGCCTCGGCTACGCTATCCCAGCAGTCCACTTCCTCTAAGAATTGCATCCTCTTCTCCATCGTTCATCTTCTGTCTCTTAACCCCACCCCAACTCCTATTCCCATCTATGATATCAACATTGCAATTCCTGCTTTACAGAGTCTATCCCCTCTAGCACAAGTCTCAATGTGCATCCTACAGTCAAATAGTCTAAGAATAATATATCCAAACTATAAGAGTTAAAATTTATTACCACTACTCGTCCATTGCCCATCTCTCTTGATTCTTATTGTGTGTCCCTGTTATTAAGCTTTCTCACTGGCGTCATGCCATGTCAAATGTGCTTAATGCTCTTCTTCATTATAGCACATGGGATCTAGTTCCTCCTGATCTTAGCAAAAATGTCGTCGACAGTAAATGGGTATTATCTATCACATGGGATCTTGATGATTCCATTTCTGGCTACAAAGCACTCCTTGGAGCCAAAGGGTTTCATCAATGACACCTTTAACTCTATTGTCAAGCCTTCCACCATTCGCCTTATTCTTACCAATGCAATACATGATTATTAGCCAATTAAACAACTTGATGTAAATAACGCCCTTTTTCATAGGGCTTTGGGTCTTTGGATGAAGATGTATACATGAATCAACCTCCAGGGTTCATTGACACTCAACATTCCATTATTATTGCTGCCTTAAGAAAGCAATATACGGGCTTAACAGGCACCACACACCTAGTACAATGAACTCAAGAGCTTTCTTTGTTCCTATGGTTTTTCCAATGCCCACATTGATTCATCTCTTCTCCTTTATTCCACTCCTATCACCATCTACTTTTTGGTGTATGTTGACGATCTTCTTGATACTGGAAATAACCTCACCGTCATTGCAAAATTTGTTAGCGTCCTATCTCAGCATTTCTCTTTCAAGGAACTCAGCTCCTTGCACTACTTCCTTGGTATATAAGTTCTTCCTTCTTCCCCTAGCCTCCTTCTTACTTAGCATAAGTAAATACTAGACATTCTTTATCTTACAACATTCACCATGGTCTTCTTCTTCGCGCGAATGGTGAACTTCGCCTAACTTCTTTCACTGATGCAGACTGGGGGGTAATTCAGATGATCGCACCTTAACTTCCACCTATATCCCATTTTATGGTGCTTTTAAAAAGCAAAAATGAGTTGAACACTCTACTGAAATTGGACACCGTGCTGTGACCTCTTGCTCTGCTGAGGTTCTATGGATTAAAAATCTCTAGTAGGGTAAAGTTCATGTTTCACTCGTGCATCACTTAACGATCTTTTGTAACAATATCAGAGCCATATATATCATTGTAAATCCCATATTTTATTCTCGTATGAAAACATTGTCATTGCTTATCACTTTGTTTTCGATCACGTTTTAAAAGGGTCATTTACGGTCTCATACATTTCTTCCAATGATGAGCTGGCGACATATTTAGCAAGCTTCTCTCGACCGACAAGTCACTAATACATTGTCCAAGATCGGAATCTCCAATGGAGCTCCGTCTTGCAAGGGCCTATTAGGGATAAGCTAGAAAATAACAAGAAAATTGAAGATAACAACCCTAAAAAGCTTATTATCACCTTATAAAGCTCATCACCAAGTAATAAGGATTGCCTCAGAACATCTAGATTAGAGTCCTTTTCACTTTGTATTGTTATCTTTACCACTTTTTATAGTCATCATCTCATCATAATTATAAATATGCACCATGTAACAAATTCATTTCACATCAATGATATTTAATTCATAGTAACTTTTCCTCTACAATTCCTCTCCTGCCCTATTTTTTGAAAATAAATTTAGTAAAAAGTGATTTTTATTTATTTATTATTTTTTTTTTTAGAGAATGTATGGAAAAGTTCTAGACTTACTTGCAAAATTATTTTATTGGGAGAATATGTGATTAAAATGAGTTTAGGGGAAAAAAAAAGTTTTAAAGAATGGAGCTCAAATATGCGCTGAGTGCCGAAAAAATATTTGTACAATGATTGTCATCAAATGTGCCAATAAATGAAATTGACGATAAAAATGCAACAAAAAAGTGGGGATATAAGTAAGTCAATAAACTAGGAAATTTAGCGAAATTAAAAAGTAATGGAACAAAAGAAAATTTAGGTACACTATACAACAAGCTTAAACAAACAACCAAATAACAACATTTTCAAGTACTATTAAATTAAGAAATATAAATTATTTATAGTAACCAACAAGAAGATTTGGGGAAAAAATGCATACCCCTATAAATTCTAACTCGATCTCAGGTTTTTCCACGGGTGATGTGGCGGTGGTTTCCGGCGAAGTGGTAGCAAATGAGATGGATATGGGTGGTTTTCTGCGAAGAAAAGTGGCCGGCTTGCGGTGGTTTATGGCGGTGGTGCTGGTGGAGAATTCTAGTGGCCGGAGTGAAAAGTTCATGGCAGCCATACTGCATAAGAGAAACAAATGCAAACACGTAGACACGAAGTTCTTTGCTGGGCCACGCTATACTCTTTTAATACGTTCGACTTGTGGCTTCAGAATTTTTTATTGTTTTTTTATTTATTTATAAGAGTTGGAGGAAAAATGGATTCCCAAAATGATAAACTCTTGTTAATAGCTCGTTTGATTCTCATTATTTGGTTGTAAAAATGAAAAATATAATTATTATTTATTATATCAAATCATCATATTTGACTTTCTATCTTTTGTGTGGGTTCCGTAACGACTATATTTTTTATTCTCATTCTTCCAAAAACGAGAATCAAACCGGATTTTGAATTGAAAATCATTTTTTATTATTATTCGGATGAGCTTGACCATTGCGTACGTAAAATCAATGTTGGTTAATTTAGACAATATACCAACATATGATGACATGAATAATAATATATTTTGATCGAACTTATATAAGTACAAACACATGAGATTAAGCTATCTATCAATACTAACGCAAGTTAATAGCTAAATGTAATCATGCCGTCCGACTAAATTTTGAGAGAGAGGAGGGGGGNAAACTCGAATCAACTAAACAACTAACGCCATGTTTGATTGCTCCACTTTTTCCATTTTCATGGAATTTTGTTTTCCAAATTTTGGTTGTTTGATTGTCCAAAATTTTCCATAGAATTGAAATTCCATATTTCGTGCCACGTCAGATTTTCCATGAAATCATGGAATTCGAATTCCTGGTTACTGTAGCGATTTATTTATTTATTATTTTTGGCAATGGAAATAAAGTCTAAGAATTATTGTAAAAAATATTTCCATTTTACCGACAATTTTAATGTAAAACAAAGCTAAATGAACACCAAAAGATAGACGATTTTCTTGATTTTTTTTGGCAATGGAAACACATTTCATATCCAGTATCAGTAAATTCTATCTCTTTAATTGACAATTTTCATGTAAAACAAAGCCAAATGAACATAAAAATACTTTTATTTCGACATTTTCCACGTGAAAAATTATATCAATGAAGCACAATAATTTACAATTCCTAAAAAAATATTTTCCAGGCAATTCAATTCCCTGAAATTCGTCTATCAATTCAATTTAATTCCATCTTTGAAATCAAAGGGGCCATAATAGTAGTTCAATGGAACAACAAAAAGTATGCAATAACTTCCAAAATCTTAAGACACAAATTAGTTTATAAGTGGGCTAATGAAATTGGATACTTTTTTTCGGATTTAGATATAAAAAAGTTGGCAACTAAAGTAAACACATTTAATTTTTTTTGGATATAACAAGAAATTTCGGTTCGAATTTTTCAAGTCAAATTGTCATCACTAACTAAGCAAGCATGCTTGAAATACTTTAATAATTTATTGATAATTTTCACAATAGTATTTTGGAAGTTATATGTATATTATTTGCAAGTTTGAAGGAATTTAGGATACGAACATTGACTAAGAATTAATATGTGAAAATAATATATGAAATTTAAATTCCACCCAATTCAGTTTATTGAACATTAATTAGCATGCTGCTTTAGTGTTCAAGTGACTTCCATTCCTGGCTATAATGCGCCGCTGCTTATGGTGCGTAATTTATTTTCTTTTTGACTTTTAACTCTTTATGAATTGACTTTTAATTTATTTCATAATTAGTATTTTTATTTTATATGGTTACGTTTTGACGAAATTGTTATTCTACTCACAATGTGTAAGATAAGATTGTTCACTTGCTGATGTTGCTGGAGAACTGAACTTACGATTCTCTCTAAGTGGACAAGATAAGACTTTTCGTTGTGGGTAGTAGAAGATTTCTGTATTTTTTGAATATTTCTCAAAATAATTGTTTTCTCTCTTTTTGAATTTGTCTCATCTTTTTCGTCTTTATTAATCAAACGTTCAATTATGAAATCTGTGAAATTAGTTTTTCCAAAGAAAGTCTAGCATGTACCTAACGAGCAAGACAACGTGTGTGTAAGTGGAAGTGGAAGTATCAAAAACTTTATTAGAATAAGATGAAACTCTAGACGACATAGAGTTATACCATCATCAATGGTTTTATTGCTAGTTTAAATAGCAATGGGATTTCTGATTGTTTGTCCAATGAAAATGAAATACATTTTAAAATATATTCAATGCATTCTACACTGGAACGGATTCAAGATCGGGCTACAAAATTTCAAATCACGCTACTACACGAATTTTTTTTTCACATAAAAAACTGATTTATTTTTTACCCAAAAAAATAAAAAATACCTTAAAAAAAGGCTATTGAGCCTGAGTGGGGGGGTGGGGGTGGGGGGCTACAACCCAGCCCAACCCCACCCCCTCCTAAATCCGTCTCCGATTCTACAAGTAGAAAGTCTTTCGAACTGCATGACATAGATTTTGAAATATTTCTCAAAATAATTTTTATTGATTGAATAATGCTACGTAGCCCTAGTAGTGTTTAAACATAACCAGTTTAGTTATCAAATTGTTATAGGCCAATTAAATATACCATATGTCCTTGGATTTAAATGAATTTTGTTATTTAATGACATACATGTTGCCTAGACTGGCTAGGGATGACAATCGGGTTCGTCGACTTGGGTCGTTCGTGGCTCGGCTCGAAAAAGCTTGAGTCCGACTGACTCGAGACTTGGGCTGAGCCCATTTCTGGGTGTCGGACAAAGCCTCAGCCGGCCCATGTGGCTCGAGCTCACGAGTCTATATTTAAAAAAAATATAAAAAAAATAAAATTAAAAGTCTGCAACACGCTACCTTTTAAGGCAGTGTACTGCTGCCAAAAAAGGGCAACAGGTTGCTGCCTTGTTTGGCAGCAACGTTGCTACCTTTTATATTCATTAAAAAAAAAAAAAACAAAACCAAAACAAAACTCGAGCCTTCCCGGCCTTTTTTTGTCGAGCTTTTGCTCGGGCCCGAAAAAAAGTTCGGTCATTTTACTCGAGCCAAGCCTTGTATTTCAGCTTGCGAGCCGATTCGTTGACATTCCTAAGACTAGCGTTAAAACACTAGTAAAACTAGGTAACTTGACTCCTAATGAATAAACTTAGGTATAGAATTGTCTCCAATGAGTTCTAATCTAAAACCTATATTTTTTCTCAAAACAAAAACAACATAGCGTCTAAATCTACATAAGCAAATATACGTTTTTGCTATCGGCATGTTTAAGATAGCTCTTAATCTAGATCTTTACAATGTTTGATTTTTCTTTTGTCAAGTCAGCATGACAAAGTTCTTGTTAAACTGTATTGATCAAATTTATTTATTTATTTATTTTTATTTTTTCGTTTCAATGTATTTATTTTGCTTGTGAGACACTAAAGCATTATAGATGTTCTTAATGCATGCAAAGAATCAATGGACCTACCACGATGTAAGCTGATGATGATTACTAATGGTAAATAAAGTTATTCTACATAGGAAATAAGTTCTCTATATATCGTTTTTATTGATTTTTGAGTAATGCTATGTAACATAATTGTTATTGAACATCAGTTTATGTGACATCAATTGATAAAATGATTTATATAAAACCTCTGTTTCTACATTTTTAAATGAATTAATGACATGTAGTTCCATTAAAGCTACAACATTAATATAAGGGTGTTAAGTTGGTTGAGCCACTTGTCGAACCCCATAGTGATGAGAAGTGAGAACCATGATATAAGAGCTAGCAAAGACAATAACCTGTTGATTGTGGATGGAGGGCCAATGACTAGGTCGCAAACAAAGAAGGTCAAGGAAGCTTTGTTATTACTTCTTCAATCTATGATGGATGGAAAATCAATCACAACAAGTAAAAAGACAAGTTTCATATTGGGCATGAAAGAAGAAACAAGATAGATCAACTTGATTTAAACAATCGAAGAGGTACTTGAATCGAAGGTCTATGTGACTGCATAATATAACCATATATGTGGCTACATTTACCCATACCGAAACCAAAATAAGGGTTGTTGAATAGTTTATACGACCTTATGCTCAAAGCCTATGTGGTTGTAGAGTGAAAAATGGGACTCGTTTTTTTCAAATTTTGCCTAGACTTCTATTTTAGTTAAAATTCTTTTTATGGCATTTTTTTGATATATTTTAGGCTTAATTCCATTTTTAATTTTGGTTTTTAGGTCACGAGCAAAGAAGGTCAAGGAAGTCACAGGATTACTTGTTCAATCGACTGTGGACGAAATATAGATCACAACAGGCAAAATGACAAGTTTCATATTTGGTATGGAAGAAGAAACAAGATAGATCAACTTGATTCAAGCAACAAAAGAGCGACCTGAATCGAAGGCCTATGCGACGGCATAGTATAACCATACATGTGGCCACATGTACTGAAACCAAAATAAGAGCATCTCCTAGAGATTCTATAATTATGAGATATTCTCTATTTTAAAGTGTCAATTTTTAAAATCATGCTCCAAGAAATTCTTTAAATTAAAATTTTAATTTAGAGATTAGGTTTTGGAGAACCAAACTCACTCTCTATAATTAAAGGCATTCAAAGTGTTTCAATTTTTAATATAAGAAAATAATAAAACAATATAAAGAAAAGTCAGTTAAAATAAAAGATAGAGAAAAATAATAAATATTTTTTGGAAGTAGTAAAATTAAATGTTAAATATAAAGAGCTTGTTGGAGTACTTTAAAATTTTAATTCTTCAAATAATAGAATTTGTTTTCTAAGAATAGAGGGCCTCTTAGAGATGTTCTGAGGGTTGTTCAATGGTCTATGCGACTATGTGCCAAAAGCCTATGCTGCCAAAGAGTGAAAAACTGGATGCGTTTTTCTAGATTTTGCATAGACTTCTATTTTGATTAGAACTCTTTTTATGGTATCTATTTGATATCTTTTAGGCTTAATTCCGTTTTTAATTAGGTTTATGGGTTTCCTATAAATAAGACTAATTCTTTTCACTGTAAAAACACACATTTTGAGATATATTATTGCAATGCATATTGTTTTCAACTCATTTTTCATTAAACTAATTCCAAACTTATCAAGAATTAAATTTTTGTGGCATTTAACAATTCAAGCGAGGTTCATAGATTTTGTGATTA